TCTGTATTTTGTTAAGTCTTGTATAGACTTTTGTATAGAATCTGTCAAGTTATAGTCATTATACTATAGTTGAACAGCTTCTGTTATTACTGTGGTTAAAGGAAAAATTACAGGTTAATATTTTGGTGATGACTATGAGATAAGTTCTCAATTTATTAAAGATAATTAAATTTAGTTAGTCATAAGGAACTTTATCAATATTGGTCTGTTTGACCTGAAATTTGAAGAGTATACACTTAAAAACCTACCGCATCATTTCTACTAAGCATATCTTAGTGAGAAAATCTCTGTGGAACCCGCTATTCAACGTCAAAGTAGTGCCACCATTTTTAATTTGCAAAGAAATTGCAAGAAACTCTTCTTGAAGAAATATTTCAACTATCATTACACCAACTTTAAACACCTATATTATAGCAACCACGAGATCAATTTTAGTATTTTGACCTCCTTTAGGACTGGAAGGACTCTTTCTACAAATTTCTTTTAAATAACAAAACCTGTTATCATAGTAAATTAAAGAGATATTTATTGATTTCTAAAAAATAGAATTTAGAAATAAAAGCATAAATATTTGCATTGTGATAAACAGCTTCTAAATTGATAGTATATACAATTTAATTTTGAAAGATACTTATTAAAAGTATTTATACATACCCAAGAACATACCACTTAACTGCCTATCACTAAACCAAATGATTCTTGTGAAATTTGTTATCCTGTAATTACAACTGTACCTTCTGATTTTTAAAACTTTTATTTCTAATACATTAGACAATATTCTGCCTGTAACTTCTTTGCCAAATCTATAGAATATTTTAACCAGATTAAACAAATATATATCCAACTCAACCTACCTCAATTAAAAAATACTATCTTCAGACTTATTTTTAGTTTTAGATATTTTAGTTCTCCTGAAAATATTCTTGATATTATTAAAAATATAGCATCTTTAGCTATCTATACTAACTGTTATCAAAAGAACCTTTTTATATTAAAAGAAGAAGATTTAGAATCTCCTTATCATCTTGATTTTGAAGATTATAGTGACTGTTTTGAAATACTTTTTAATCCCCAATACTATATACTTAATCCTTTACCTAATTAATAAAATCAAAATATTATGTCTAATGTAGCTAATGTTTTTAACTATCTAAAAGAAAATAAAAAAGGTAGAAATGTTGTTCACATTAAATCTTTTCATGGAGATGGAACCCAAGATCCCTTAACCTGAATTGATGACTTTGAAAAAGCTTCAACTACTAATAGCTAGAGTCTTGCTAAACAAAGAAAAATTATGTCAGCTTTTCTTAGAAAAAATGCTGATAAATAGTAACAAGTTTATTATTCTGCACATGTTGCTACAGTTGATGCTATAGCTGATTGAAATGCTACAAAAGCTGCTTTTATTGCACTTATTTTCGCTCGGATTATCATTGCAAACTATACCATATTCAATATCAAATTTCTCAATTCAATTAATGCAAAGATACAATATGTAGAAAAATATGGGAATAGTGCCGCTCCTTTGCTGCTAATAAAGTGGTTACTCAAACATATTTCAGATTTATCTCTAATCTCTTTCTTACTAGATTAACACAGTGTGGGTTGAACCCAGTCATCAGTCTATTTAAACAGTGTGGGTGTACACAGCTGTCCCTACTACTTAGTTGCAACAGTGTGGGGTGTTCACAGCTGTTTTTCCTAATTTATTCAAACAGTATGGGGCATACATAGCTGTTAATGCGCAAATGGTGCAGGGAATGTACTGCCATTTCTGGGTGTACAACTGCCTATTACTTCTTAACTACCCAGTTTCGATGTAATTTACAGCATTAAATAGTATCAATAGCTGTAAATGCTGAATTTTACCTGTTAATTTCCTATTTGGTTTTATTTTGGGGGAGGGGTGGGAGGGAAGAACCTTTCGATTAGCCAGAAAATAAGGTTTCGGGCAACTTTGAAAAGCAGCGAAAGAAAAGCACAAATTCTTCTTTTGAATTTGTGGCTTATTTATACTTATCATTAGCCTCGCTAATCAATGACCTAATATTAATTTAACCCCTGGATCAATGATCTCATAATTTATGCAATTTCTATTTGACTTGTTAGTTAATGACCTAATAAATCATGCAAATTCCCTTTGACTCGCTAATCAATGATCTCATAACCATAATGATCATAAGATCAGGTGATCCTTGTGATAATATCCCTCCTGTGCCTACATCACAGTTGGTCCTATTATTTTCGCTCGGATTACCATTGCAAACTATACCATATTCAATATCAAATTTCTCAATTCAATTAATGCAAAGATACAATATGTAGAAAACTATGGGAATTTGAAGAGTATCGCGATGCAATAAATATCTAGAACCCCATTTTTGCTGACATATTAATTTGTGTTGTAGCAATTGTTCTTAAATACAGTAACACTGCCTTTGAAACCCAGCCCCCTATGGCCATTATTTGTGGTAATGACAGTTCAGCCTTCATCGCTGCTGTCACACCTCCAATACGTAAACTGTGACTTGAATATCGCCCTTTCAATCCTACATGACCTGCAATCTGTTTAACAATTGAGTTAACAGCCCCTACTGTTAATTTTTCATTTCTTACTGATGGAAATGCCCATTTCCCAGACTTTCCTCTAATATCTAGATATTGTTTCCACAATCTAACTGGACAGGTTCTAGAGTTTGTTGGTTCTATAGGAATAAATTTCCTATTACCTTGTTGGTCTATTTTGGACCGATTTATACGAATCCATAAAAGACCATTTTCTTCTTTAAAATCATCTAGAGAAAGGGCAGTTAGCTCACTTGCTCTACGCATTGTGCGTAAGCCAATTGCTACTAATGCACAATCTCGAGCCCATATTCTATAGTCTGCCATTAATAGTGGATTCTCTACATAATTTTTTAATGCCTCAACTGTCAATGGGTCATATGACCATGTGGCTTCCTTATCATTTGCAGCTAGCTTGGTTAATAATTTTGCTAGTTTTTTTACTTTATAACCTTTTGTAGGATCTGGTAAGTCTTGTATACTGTGCTGGTTTGATATTGCTGTTAACACTAATGAAGGTTTTAAAGTCCTACCACACATATCTGACCAAATCAGATATGCTAGTAAACTTTTCTGTGATGCTGGCAAGGCAACCAACTCATATATCCTACAAAAGTCAATAAAATCTTCCCAAACTGCTTTTAATTTACGATCATAAGATGATTTTGGTGATAAAATCTCATGTGCCTGTATTAAAAGATTGTTTAGAACATCATTTGTATTGCCATAAACCTCCAATTTTGGTTTTTTAATAGCTCGATAGATCCATTTAGGCTTGGACAAAAGATCTCTTCTGGGTTTGAAAGTGACATTCTTCAGTGTGAATGATGTAACATAATTGGCCACCAAGGTGCTGAAATCCAAATCGGTACAATGATCGTTGTTATTGCCTGACATTCTATTACATGATGAAACACTTGATCTAACTGTCCTAACGGTACACAAACGTAATTTATTTCTTTTCTCCAGTCTTGTGTAAAGCAATCGATGACTTTTGTGGTTGGACAATGCCATCGTGAGTTGAACCTTGCAAGATGGGTTGAATGTTCGCTTGCCATTCGGTCTATAGTATGTGGCCCCCACATCTGATTCAATAGTTCGAAAACCTCCTTTTTTAAGCTCCAATCTGACT